ACTAAGAAAACACAAATCTCTACAAATGTAACAAATGTAAAATTCTAACTGAAATTTAAAGTGTATGCAAACAATTTTTGCTTATTCAAAATTATGAAGGCTATTATAAATTCACAATGACTGAAATGTTTCAAAAGCAAAGACAAATCAATACAGATAGATTTACGTGTTATATTTACCAATATTAATGCAAAAACCATATAAAATGACTATAGTAATATTCACTTACTGTGAAGTGTCTTTTCTTTTTGAAAATAATACGTAATATTGAAACACTGCAAACTAAAAATGTATTCTATATCACAGAATATGGTAAGTCAATTATGATATGTTTATACTATTTTTTCCAAGATGTTACTATGGTTCACATCACTTTTTATGTATAAAATCACATAATTTTACTCTAATTCAATTTAGATTCACAGTTTAAACCTTCACCAATAAAGATATTCATACATGTAATTAGTATTGCTACATTCTTACACAAATCTACATGTTGTGTTTATTATACCAGAGTCAAAAAGGCAGATCTTTATTTTCTGGATTATGTCTTTCTTTTTGATCAAAGTATTGCCCAAATTTAACAATAATATAAAAATTTGCCTTTTCTGGAGTACCTAAAATTTATATTCTCAAGTTGCTTTAAAATACTCTAAAACGTAATTTTTACCATATTTTAAGAAAGAAAAAAAATCACTTCAAGGCAGTCACCTATTAGTATTCTGCCTTATCTAAGTGGATTATGGATTTCGAAACTAAACCTGAACACATCTTAAAAAGACGCCCAAGCTTAACTATCTTGTCCTATAAATATGGAAGGCACTTTGACAATAATTGGGTCTCCCTAATACCCATATGGATTCAAATATTGCAGAGAGGAAATGGATTGTAAATTTTGGCAACTAAACTTAACTATACTTCCATATGTATGCTTTACCAACCACAGGATTTGGAATTCAAACCGTTGTTACAAACCATTTTTGCTAATTAGAAGAGTCTTCATTTTTCACCTTCGCAAAAAAATGTTACAAGAAGCCCAATGTTCGCCTTGCTTATCTCAAATTCCCATTTGGCAGGCACTGTAAAACTTAACTCCCAACGAGCTGTCATATGCCTGGAGTCCTCAACTTGGCATGGCTACTAACTTTGACCTCAGGGAAGTTTCCTGCGTTAGCCTTCCTGTGGTTTACCTCTGAGAGTTCTTTCTAAATTGAAAGGGAGCTAGAGAGAGATGGGTAAAAACAACAGCTCAACAAGCCAGGTTTATTTTAAATGGTACACAAAAACAATTCTCTTCCAGGACCAAACTGCTACAACAAGGTCTCAGGTAGTTACTCTTTACAAAGTAATTCAGGAAGAGCAAGGCAATTAGCTTAAAAATTAAAAGGTGTGCTAACAGCGCAACACACACACGCACACACACACACACACACACACTCACACACACACCTGAATTAATACCCACAAATGATTCTATAGACATCAATCACAGTGTACAAAATGTCAGTCTTGGAGACCATGTCCCTGATTATCATCTTATGCCATACACCAGCTTAGGATCTGATCATTTTCTATTTCTGCGACAGCCACATGGGAATTCTCTCTAACCTGCCTCTTTGTAAACAGGCCAGGTTGACTGACTTGACCGTAAAGGACATCTAAAATGCAGGATTTAACTAGCATGAACTATTGATTGTGTGTCTCTAGATGCCAGCTAGATCTCAATATTTGAGTTGTGTAAAATATTCTTTCCATAAATTTTTCTGTAATGTTTCAGTTATTGCTGAATGTGTAATATTTTCTGTTTTTATTGTGGGTGACAGAGAGCTGGAATTTTGCAAGTAAGCTTCCTTCTTACTTACCTTCTGCCAGCTCTATCATCTACTTACTTTGGAAGATGAAATTAACTATTTGTGTGAACATTTGCCTATTTGTTCTCAGATTCATTTCCTACTCTTCTCTTAATCTGCTTTTCTATTGCGGAAAACTACATTTCTTTTAGGCTCCTCTTTTCTATTTTCTGGGTAATTGCAGCCAGTGGAAGAAACTGTAGCAAACTAGAGGACAGAATGAAAGGGAAAGAAGATGATATTTCTCTCCTTTCCTCCCTGTCTTGTGTAGACCCTCTGGCACATTCTTCCCTGGATAGCGACTTTCTCATTGATCATGCCCAGGGTGGACTCACTGTGGTTCTGCTTTCTGCAAGATGGCTCCAGAGCCAGACAAAGGTATTCTCTTTCCATTTGTATCTCCAGACTTGAAGATGGTTCTTAGTTCTCTTATTATTTAGGTAATTAATTTCCTATATTAAATTCATTCTTTTTCCAGTACATGCAGATTCCTGTTTCCCTGATTGGACATTGACAGACTTGTCTTCATCTGTAAGATGCAGTTAATAATAACACTGAACATATAGAGTAATTTGAGGATTAATTAATGCAGCTGTTCTTAGGTTTCAAGGTGCATCAGAATTATCTAGAGAGGTTGTTACAGTGCAGATTTTACGGCCTTACCGTCAGAGTATCTGATTCATTTGGTGAAAAGTGGGACCCCAATTTTTGCATTTCCAACAACTTCCCAGGTGTTTGCATGTTGCCAGTCCACAGCCCATACTTTGAGAACCACTGTAATGGAAAGTGTTTCACTCATTATAAGTGTTCTATAAAGTTCTAAAAATTAATGTTTACTGTCATTCTATAATTTTCTTTTGTCTTTCCTAATTATGGTTGTACCCAGGATTTGAAGAAATTCTCAAATTAAGAATAGACAAAGGTATGTAAATATAACCAAGGATTTGTGGGTAAATGTGTTTGTGTCATTTTATGCAGGATAGAATTAGTTGTCCACACATTACACTGAATGCTAGAGGCGGTTATATAGAGATACAGGTATACACACATATATTTCTGCTCCTACTTACTGACCATGACTGATAAATTCTTATACTTAATAGAGTCTTTTTGGTAAAATTAAAATGGGCATTTGAGTTATATCCAAGCAGTAACTTTTTCTTTCCTACTAAGGAGAGCATAACTGAACGCAAAGAAGGAGGAGGAGGGAATGGAAGAGTGGAGGAGCAGGAGTTGTAGAGAGAGGAAGAGAAGGATGATGTTATTTTGTACATGGCATTTAATATATAAAATAGCCTGAAACTTTAAAAATGTCTTAATATATTAATTAAAATTTATTAATGTATTAATATATTACTTATAATTAATATAAATTTTTCTTAATATATTAAAAATTTCTTAATATATTAATGTATTAATAACAAATGCTATACAACTCACCACTGTACAGATATGCTGAAATGGATTATCCAGACTTGGGAGGCTGAGCATGTCTTGAACCTAGAACTCTAGTTTCAAACACAAAACATCTGTCTTAACTTGTATTTCTATAAAAAGTGAAATTGCTTTTAAAAAAACTGAATCTCCCTTAACCCACATAGCTAATAAAATAAAATTGAAATGAGGAAACATAAAAAGATATGTCTTTATATACATATAGACACATCTGTATCTATATCTGTATATGTATATCTATATCATTAGACTGCAAAGAAGAATGTAAGGTACATGAGAGTAAATTTCAGTATAGATTCCTTCTAGATTTGGGGAATTTTTCTCCCATCCTAATCTTTACAGCTGACTCATCTATAATTGACATGACAGAAAGTTTTTAACCTAAATTCTACCTCAAATAAAGTTTTTACCCAAAATTTTACTTACTGTAGTTTTCACTAAAATCAAAATTTTGTTTGAAATAGTCTATGTTTTTCATAGAAACAACTATTCTCTGATTTATGCTTTCATGTTTCTTTGATTTATATAACAAAGTAAAAAATGCATAAACAGCTTTGGAAACAATTGTAACTAATCTTCTCCATTCACACAACTCAATTGGAGGGAACCCAATGGTATGAATTTACTAGCATGTGGTCTAGCCACCAGTGTTTGTAGCTGTATTAGTTTTCTATTGCCATGTAACAAATTACCGCACATTAAGCAGGTTAGATCAGCATATAATTATTATCTCACAGGCTTCACTAGTCAGCAGTCTGGTACGACTTAGCTGGATCTTCTGCTCAGGGTCCTATGAAGCCAAAATCAAGACATTCTCTTCTGGAGTCTCCACAAATAAAAGATCTGATTCAAAGCTCATTGCGTGTCAGCAGAATTTGTTTTCTTGTGGCTGTGAGACTGAGTTCACGGTTTTCCTGGTGTCTGTCACCAAGCATTGCTCTCAGCTCCTAAACACGATACTCAACCCTTCGCTACTGGGCTGCCTCCACAAGTGATTCACGACATGGCTCCTTGCTTCTGCAAAGCCAGCAGGAGAATCTCTCCCATCAGGAAGGCCCAGTTTCTTTTAAGGGTGCAACTGATTAGGTCAGTCTTCCCCAGAATAATCTCTCTTTTGATTAACTAAAAGTCAACACTCATATGGGGCCTCAATTACATCTGCAAAATCACTTCACTTTTGTCTTACATCACAACGTAGTCACTGGAGTGAAATCCATTGTAGTCACAGTTCCACTCATACAGAAAGGGAAAAAAATATATAGGACATGTATGTCGGGGGTTAGAATCTTGGGGATCATCTCAGAATTCAGCCTGCCACCGTGCTTGTGAACATGACTTAGTTTGATTTACAGAGCTGTCAGAGTGGATTTATAAAGGTGGTTAAGAGAGCTTGCATTCTAGTGCCATTTAGAAGGTATTGTTGACTTTGTCTGGGGTCCTGACAGATGCCATATGGATAATTATTCATAATAGTTCAGGAACTAAAGAAAAACTCACAGATAATGTTTTATGCTAAAATGTTATTTAAAAGATTATGTAACAGCTAAAATCATTGTTTAAAGAGGAAGTAAAGTGCCAATGAGGGAAAATATAAGTTGGCTAATAAATACAGACATTACAGGATTACTTTGTCCTTATTTATGTATTTATTATTTAATTATTAATGTAACCATTTATTATTTTTTCTTTGTATAGGCAAATTAGAGAATATTCTGAACCAAGGCTAGAAATCTTTTACTGCCCTCCATACTGAGATCTCAAGAGTTAAAAATCACACTGATCTCCCAGACAATTGAGTCAGAAGAATCTTCTGCTTCTTCCAAGGAAAATAAATGACAGAATCTCTAACTCAGGTAACAAGCTTGAAAAATCAACAGAATCTCTTTTTCTTCTCTCTCTCTTGCTTGCCCACTCTCTCTATCTCATGATTTCTTTCTATGTAAGAAAACTTTTGTTCAGGCTGCCCTTGCCATCCCCAAGCTTGTACTTGTTTTAATGATGACCTTAAGTTTATATCCTATGTCTCTACTTTCATCTACAGTTTATCGAATGATCTTCCCAAATATTTGGAGAAAAATGAATTGAGCAGCTACGAGTTTCAGACACAGGGAAAACCTCTGAAGTGTATGAGACAGAAACCTGGCTTCACATTTCAGCATCACTAATTTAATTGACCTTAAACAATTTACTTAATTTTTCTGAATTTCAGAGCAAAGATAATTAGATCTAACAATAATATATAGTATGTGCTTATTGAATATTGAATAGACAAACAAGATTTATTACTACTACTTTTTCTATCAACTTTAATTTTAATGGAGCCTATTTTTTGCTAAAAGTTAATCTTAATGGAAACAATTATGTTTTTCTACATTTAAAATATTTCCCAGAGCATGTTTCCTGGGCCATTGGGTCCATGTAATGCTACTGGAGGAAAAAAGAGAAACAATAGTAAATGATGAAACAATGTATGCTGAACAGTGTGAGAAGACTCACAATGAGCATTATCATAACAAAGGCTCTGACATATCTCACATAAACGAAAATGCTCCCGGTTTTTCTAAAATTATGTTGGACAAGCTGAGGGAAATGTGGTTTTAACATTTTAAATATCTGAAGTCTAACAGAAATGTGTCTGTAAGCACCAGAACTAAAAAGAGACATAAAAATATCTACAAGAAAGAATATTATCACTACAGTTAAAAAAAAAAAAGGAAAAGAAGTAGCTTTGGTTTGCTTTCATTGTAGCAGATGATCACTCTTATTTCCATTCAGCAATATTATTAATATCACAGATGACATTAAAAGTAATATATTACTGAAGAAAAAATAAGTTGTTGTTGCTGTTATGTAAACTAGGTGATACTTTGCAACACAGTATGGTCCAATCTTACTGTAGACAACGTCTTGAGAATCGGGCACTATGGAGTGAACGAGGGAGGGCAAAGATCTCCACGTCCAACAGTGAAACCAGGGAGAAAACTGTAAAGATATTTTTGACTACATTATCATCATGCTTTAGAGATTAATGAATAAGAATGCTAGCAGAAATATAGAAAAATAAAATCTCAGTTTCATAATAGAGGAGTAAGGCTGGTGAACACTTCAAGAGTGGTCAGAAGGAGTTGAAAGGTAACATTAAGGAAAAAGAAATAGTCCTAGTTTATGATGTCCAGAGCTGTCCTCTGGGGTGCAATTAATCAATGTGTGTCTTCAACTACTTGAGATAGGCATGACACGTGAATGTAGAAACTTAGAACAAAAAGCATTGACTTAGCTCATGCTAGAATAAATTTAATTCCCACCTCATTCCCTGTGATGGCCCCAGGAAAAATGAGGAGACTCTGCTTCTCTCTTCATTTACACTTTGGGCTTCTTGCTGCCTGAAGGGAAGTGTCCAGGTGAAGTAAAATTAGCAATAAGCAGTGATCGCTGGAGTGATCGTCTAGAGGTTTTTAAGCTTCCAGGGCCACACTTTTCCATCTGGCAAAAGAGGATTAAATGTTTCTTTTAAACAATTTGTAAACTCACAGCTACAAAACATATGGCATTATTCCAAGTTTGACATACTTCAACGTTTGACTTAACTATTCCCACCCATTGATTTGGGCTTTCTTGGGATATTGCTTACATCTTTTCGAAACCAATCTGCTAAGACCCGAGACAAAATATATTGGATTGAATATAAATTACACAGAACGTAGATTTTTTTGTTTGAAGAAATGGAGCTTTAGAGAGACGAAGTATCATTCCTAACTGAGTGGTTCATCTAGTACATGATGACTTGAAGCTTAGGTCTTCTGATGTTGCAGCTTATGTGCTTTCCATTGTACCACTGCTTAAGTAGGAGTCAATATTGATCAATACCAGTAAGTTAGGTGAAGCCCTTTGGACAGCATGTTATGGAAGAGATAGGTTGGTATGTTAGTGTAGACCTGAAGGAAATGAAAGTGAAGCTGGGCCTGCAAGGATGATATGCCATAGGGAAGAGAAAAGAAGATATTTATTGAAATTAATAGACCTTTAACATAGGAATGTCTTAAGAGATTACCTTCACAGCATTTGTCTTGAGGAGTGGTAGAAAATCATGTTAAAGAATTAGGAGTATTAGTAGTTAGCCCTTGCTATATGTCAGGTATTATATGTGTATTATTTCATTTAATCCTCTCAATAACCCTTGAGGGAGGAATTATATTTTGATCTTACTTGCAAGGAAACAGATTCAGAGAGGCTCAATATCATACTGGGAAAGACTTTCCTGAAACAAATACCTAACTCTACTGTGCACTTGAAGCTGTTCTAATCTCTTTACAAATACTAATTTAACCTTTGTAGCAGAGTTATGAGATAGGTATTATGATTTTCAGTTTACAGGGGCATATCTATCAGGCAGTAGAGTAAGAGTCTAAGTGTCTAGCCACTATGCCATGCTGCCTGGTAAGGAGTGGAGCTGAAATTCACATTGGCCGCAGTCTGATCCCAGTGCAGATGCTCCTAAAAACTAAGCATTTTTTCCTTCTCAGCTGCAATAGTCTTTATAGACGATGATATCTAGTCAAAGAAGATGAAGTTATTTGTCACCCGATTTTGTTGATGCATGACTGGAAGACGCAGGTAGGCAAAGGACAAAATATTTTTGTGATGCTATGTGAAACAGAAATCAGTTACACAATCACAAATGGACTCCATCTAGTCCTGCCACCTTGGTCTTCATACCATAATAGTGGTAAAAATAATACTGAAAATACTGAGCCATTATTTTATGCTTATAGGGTTTTTAGTACTGTAGAAATATTTTTGTGTTTTTCTTCAATTAATTCACACAACCTAGATTAAGCACAACTTTCACCATTTTCTGGGTGAGAAAACTAAGATAAAGGGAGATTAAGTAACTTGCTCAAGGTCAAGCAGTTATTATCCTCTAGATTTATGTGTAAACCTAGGCACGGTGACTCCAAACCCTAGATCCCTAATCCGTAACCTAGATTACAACTCCCAAGGCTCCAGGCTTCTTGTCTCTATGCATATTGCAGCCCTGGGAACAGCTTGTACTTCCTCTCACCCCAGTGATACACAGACTTTCCTTTAATTAATGTGTTTTTTTCTTTTCTGCAAATGATTCCTCATGATTTTTTTATTCAAAGTACATGAAAACACCTCAACCAACAGGAAAAAAAGAAAAATGTTATATATAATGTGAATGAAACTGTGGGCATTTTCTGGCTTAGAATTGAACTTCCAGAAAACAATCATAAAGAAGGCAAGGTTTTGCAATTCAAGTATTCATTAGGGCAGTATTATATCTTTTCTTAGTCTTAAATGAATGTAAAATCATAGTCCTTTGTATTAGAATGCATTTTTGAAAGTGTTAGCCAGGCTAGTTGGATAAATTAGTTATATAAATGTTTTTTTCTTGTATAGTTAGCATTTTTCTAATTTCTATGTTCAGATAGTGACCAAACCTAATACTGCTAAAAATTATAAGAGCAAAGAAAAAGTTATAATTAATTGAGCTTTGTTATAGGTAAAGTGAAAATTCTCGATTTCCACTCGCATATGCCTCTTGTTTTTTGAGTATGAATGTGTGCTGTTTTGAACACTCAGTCAATGCAACTTCTATTTTAGGTCTAACAATATCTCCATGTGGGACTTTGCCGGGCTAGCTCAGAACACATACATAAGAAGAGAGTTAGCTGCTCTTGGCTTCCTAAATCAAATTTTGCTATGGTGAAAGGAACTGATCATTCTTCAAATAGATGACTTCTTTTTATGCTCCACATTGCCTCTAATACATGTTAACTTCTGGAAATTCTATTCCATATGAAGAAGGAAAGTTAGGGAGCTGTCAGGGAAAAAGACAGAAAAGAAGCCAAAGGTTAAGAAGTTAATGAGAGCTGGTGAATGGAGAGACCAGGTAATCAACTCTGCCATTCAAGAGCACAGAACACTCTGGTAGCAGAGAAAATCACAAGAACATGAAATGAAAAGAAGGTTAAATAAAATACATTTTATTCCAAAGCAGGAACTATTTTAAAAGAAAATTCATAATCTTAGAAATTTTGTTGGAAAAGTTAAAGTAAATCTTTAAAAAGTATTTAAAAAGTAAATCTTTAAAGTATTTAAAAAATACTGTCTCTATACTTTTGTTTATTTCCACTTTATTCTTTACAACAAGCTCAACAAACTTTTTACAGAGTAAGTTTTTTGTAATATAAAAACACAATAATCCAGGAACACAACAAGACTGATGAACTATCACCAGACAGGAGTCTCTCCTCCCCCTTGCTCCTGGGATTTAAACCTATTTGACGCCCCCAGCGGCTAATCCTGCCCAGCAATCAGGTTCCATCCTGATGTGGAATCTGATACCTTAATATATTAAAAAGTCACTTCCTTCCACTAGCGTGTCTTTTTAATTGGTAATGTGTCTTATATGGCATAAATTATCAGTGCTTACCATGAATTCTTAGCCAAAAAAAAAAATTAACAAGTTTTTTATTTCTTTTCATCAAATTTCATCTTGATAGATTCAGACACTTTGGGTAATTTCCAGTATCAGATTACTAGAACATTTATTTTTATTAAAAACAAACAAATTGATAGTTCAAGGTTTCGAATATTTCCAGAGCTGGGGTCTCACACACATTCTGAAACTGTGTGCAGGACACGGGCTGGGGACCTGGGCAGCTGCTGCATTCTATCAGCAAAGCAATCTCACTGCCTCTGTTTCTGTAACTTGAAAGTATGGCCCTTGCGAGACATTCTGACACCATGAATTTGAAGTCTTCTTGTACTGCGATTGCCAGAAAGTTTCAAATGTTAAATAATCTCTCAAACTTGCCCTAGAAACTGAAGTTGGCTTATTAAAGATTTTTTTTCCTCCCTGTTTGAAAAACTTCTTTGTTTCACTAACGGCAGGTCTCCTGTGTTTTGTAATGTTGTTATTGAACAAGTTTAATGATTTGCTGAGGACCTCATCTAGAGGCATTACCAAGCAGCTCAAGATTAGAAACGTATGGTGGTGGAGGCTCTCCTAGAATAAATGAAAATATTTTATTCAGCTACCGAGAAGGGTCTCCAGAGATCAAATTAGAAGCTAGCTGTGAAGGGAGATGTTTAGGCATGCTCTGGAATTATTTATCAGCATTTTCTGCTTGTGTGAGAATAAGCAGACATTAAGTTTAAATTAAACAAAGGGGGAAAGAAAACAAGTTTTTTTCAGTAATTTGACTGCTAATGATATTTCTGAATTATTCTCAGCTTAATAGTTTAAGTAATTTGCAATGATAATAATGGTTCCTGCTAAAGCTCCAATAGCGTTGATTTTTTTTTCTTTTCGCCAAGATTAACCCCCTTTAAAACCTTTAATGGACATATAATTGCAAATTTATTGTGGGCTTTGTTAATTTTTAAATTTGTTTTCTTCTTGACATTTCTTTTAATTTAATTTTATTTTATTACATTCATCAACAATTTGAGAAACTCTCTTAAAAGTCCACTAAAAAGGAATAAATGTTCTTTATGTTGCACTGGTTTATCTTTACTTATAATGAGGCTGAGCTTGTAGATAGAATAGAGGCTGTTTAATTATTACTTTCGACATTAATGCACTTTTCCCATGTACTCATTCAAAATAAGTATGCTTTTAGGGTTTGTTGGAAAGAAGTAAACTGTTAACATGGGGTTGCAATTGGCCCTTAAATAATTGAATAAAAGACCAGACCATATTCCAGATTAACACATAAGTCTGTATTTTAAATATCTAGGTGGTGAAGTTGTGCTAAAAGCCATTAAATTTTGTTCTTAAAGGCACACTGCATGTTATCACAAATGAGTAATTTAAAACATGTTTGTGTGAAATACAGCAGGTTAACAAACTGAAAACTAAAACCCTAAGTGTGATAGCTGTTTTTCATATTGAGGAAATGTAAATATATAACTCGACATTTTGTCAGCCAGTAAATCATCTTTCAAGTCACCATATTAATCATGCACAGAGAAAGGACCAAGACGAATAAAACTTCCCTTGACACTCACTGTTTCAAAGGTGAAATAATACTTGATGGAAATAATATTGTTCTTAGAAATTCATGTTGCGTATTTGAATATTCTTCATTCGTATTAACTATTTTTAAAAGGATTTGGTTATCTGTTCTCAAATAATTTCCATTAACTTATTCCATTGTGATTTAGAATTAAATTGTACCTTGGATTTTTTAAAGGAGTGAAAATAAAAGAGAAAAGAAAAAAGTGAGATGAGGTGAACTGAGAACTCACTAAAAGCATAATTCTTTTCTGGCCAGAGAAAAAAGAATGCTTTTTAACAATTGAATATATATGCATATACCTACAAATTTCCTGTTTGCATGATTTGTGAAGAGGGTTAATTTGCTGTAATTTTTTTCTCTTAATCTGAAATGCCACAAATGTGAATGACTTTCAAACACTTTGCAGTGACATTGTCAACCCTCTGCTAATACTCTTTCAGTGCTTGGGAACCAAATAATTACAAGATGAGGCATTTAAAAAGTCAAGAAGGTGATATGATGCTGCGAATTAAAATGAGAGAAAGAACTCACTTACCTATATAAAAGAAGGGAGCAATTCAAATAAAGTAGATGTATAGCAAATGCCTTAATATTAGTTTATTTAAAAGTATTCCTAGATATTATTTACATTTGTATCTGCTTGACTTTTTCCTAAATTGCTGATTTTCTGAAATGCCAGATGTTGATTTTTTCATGTTTTGTCTAGTAGTGACAGAAGTGTCTCCGATTACCTTCCCCCTACCCCTGCCCCTGCAAAATATCTATTTGTGATATATTGGATATTTTTTTCATAACTAAGTAGTTAGTGGTAGTATGTTATCTCTTTCAAATGTAGGAAGTAAGTGTATAGAAGGCAGTTGCTTTTCAGTATTCTCACAGATAGTGACAACTGCTTTCAAATATTTCGTGTCTATTTCTTCCATACACCATTGTGTGGCTTTCTTTGTCACTTTCCTTATCATGAATCCTGCTACTTCAATAAGGATACAGAAATTCCAACAAGAGTGCATTCTCATCATTCATGATGTAAATGATGAACCAGTATGTGTAACCACCATTAACTGCTTTGAAACTATCTTGCTCTAACTGTTTCTATAAGTCTTTTAGTAAATATTCAAGTTCTCCTTCAAAGCAAGTAATTGATTTCTTTCTGGGGAATTATTTTTAGATAACCCACATGATACACTCAAAAAGAAAATAAAAATTTAAAACTTGAAACTTGACAAACAAATCCAGATATTAACACCACATTTGAATATAATAATTAAAACTGATGATCAGATGTTAAAAATGAAAAATTTTCTAGAAGAAAATCCTTTCAATATGACCCAGCCTTTTTGGGAAGAAATTTTAAAGAAAGAAAAGATAACTCCTTTCATACTGTGGTGCACTATAATTATGTCTAGAGTTGGTTGTATATTATAGTAGAGTTTTAAGTTCTACTACAATAAGAACTTGTATTATTTTG